AAGACACAGCTGCTTCTATGTCCAAGTTTTGTGTCTGAAAGTTGGAAACATTAAGCTTATCTGCTAATATGACTTAGGACATTTAGTAGGAAAGTAGTAATATTTGTAAAGAGGAGACATTTAGGAAATTGTATTAATTCAACTTTTAAAACTTTTATTTTTGCACCATTCCCCCCCTTGTTTAACCTCTAAATTTTCATTTGGCAAGAAAATTTCTTCTTCAGCTTGAACAAGTTCAGATATTAGAAAAACTCAATTACTAAGCAGTGGAGGGAGGGTGAGAAGTGGTGGACTAAAAGCTATATAAAGTTATATAAAGGCAGTATAGAGGGCCTTGAGCACTTTGGCAGAGTTGAGGTGTAGTACCTGCACCTCAAAACTATAAATGTTATCACTACTGTAACTATGTTACCTAAACTACCAAAAAACAAACAAACAAAAAACCCCTACAAATGAGTAAACAAAAAACCTCCAAATATTAGGTACATTGTTTAAAACAAAAAAGGTGAGGTATAAATCTGTATCACAAATCTGTATAGGTGCAGAGAAAGTATGCAAAGTTTTCCTAAAATACTGAATTACTGCATTATATGCAAGGAGTTGAGATAATTAAGAGAATTCTGGGATAATAAATATGAATGAACTTTGTGCTGCTTCTAAAGTCACAACTCTGGTCCAATAAAAATATTTTCTAAAACTAAGACCTTCTCTTTACCTGTCAAACATGACTAGAGCTTAAGTTATGTCAAAGGGCAGACACACCTACACATCTCGGGAAGAACGCTTCCCTACCCTGGTGAGACATCTAGTGAAGGGGAGAGCATCTTAAAAAATTCTAAACTAAAGATTAAAAGGGCTACTTGGCCAAAAGAAATGCTTTTAGATACTTTTTAACTATTTTGTCTGCTTTAGCTAGGGTGATAAATATTTCTAGTATATTAAATGGCTCCTTGCACTTGTTATCGAATAATCGAAAAAAATAGAAAGAAAAGAAAAGAAAAATTAAAACTTTGTGCCCACATTTCTTCAAATATGAAAGAAGGCACAAAGATAGCTAACACTGCTGTAAACCACCAGGCAGATACTTACATAAAAGAAAACACCTCTAGTAGAGGCAGAGTGGTGAGTAGGAAACCAAAGGGTTGAGGGTAACTGGTGGAGGGTTTGGAAACACATACTCCTGAAACCCAGTCATGAATAACTTTGTAATTCCTGGTGACTAAATAAAGTTTTTAAAAATGTAAAGAAAAAAAAACTTAAAAAAAAAAGGAAAAGGAAAGGAAAACGCAAGATACTCAACAGCCAAGTGTATGCTTTTACATGCCAGGGGGCCAGCTTAGATTACCTGCATTGTCCAGTGCCCCTAGACTGAGAACAGAGTACACGAACACTGCCATGCACACCCCCCAAACCAAACAAAATGAAACCAAAATATGAGACCCTCTGGTGGTAAAAAAGCAAAATACACTGGTCTGAGGCTTGTACGTCTCTACAAAGCTATATCACATTCTTGAGAGTAGTAACATTATTATGGCGTTTTGACTGGTTGGATGAACCCAAAATAAAATCTTACAAACACTTTAGCTCTGATTGGACATCGGTGGTCAATCAAAACTGCACACCTGACTCCTTTTGGGAAATAATCACCTGTACTCTCATCATCATACTGAAAAACAACCCCTCAACAAGGCTTCCCCACTATTTTCTGTACATGTAATGCATATGCGCGTTCATTGTGTGGCCCCAATATAGTCCTCCCAGTGGCAAGGCAACATGTTTTATATGAATGAGTTGAGTCAGATAAACTGTACTCTATTGCAGGAAGTCCCCTGCAGACGTAGTGAACATGTTAAACACTAATTTGCAAGGATAAACAGCAGAAACTCATATGCATCCTGTTCATTCCTGCTCACCTTTTGTTTTCAGGGCATCAAACAGAATGTAAGATCTGTTACAGGTAAGAAAAACATAGAAAACACACCATTTCAGAATCCAGGTTCCTAATGATGTTGAGGCCATCTTTTTGTACCAAAACCAGCTTTTGATTAAAAAAACAAAATAAAATAGGCAAGATAGAAGTTTCTAGCTGCTTCTTATACGCCTATGTATTCTCTCTAAAAAAAAAATAAGGATCAGGGAAGTAGATTTGAACATTTCTCCAACCCTCTTAGCATTCCAACGGCAAGAAAAGTCTTTTTTTTTTCAAATGACATGGTGAGGATGTTTGGTTTCCTGATGCAACAGGCAGCAGACATAGTACTACTTTACACGGGGCAGGGAATTAGGGAATTTTGCATTCAAATAGTTAGTAGTGGGATTTTGCTTCCAGACAGCCAGTTCCAAACTGACCCACTATGCCCTTGCCCTGGACATTATAATTAGATCAAGAGCTTGAGGCTAAGAGGCATTCAGAAAGAGCAAGAAAAATAATTCGATAGAAATGCCAAGTTTTTGTTTTCTTGAATGCACTGAAAGTTCTTTTCAGATTTCATCATTGGCACCTAATCTGTTTCTAAAAGTTCTTATGGAAAAAATTAAAAATGTAATTGGATTTATTAAGCAATTCAGAACTCTACTAGTATACCATATAGCAAGCAGTAAGACACAGCAAGGAGTTATACAAAATTAAAGGTTTTTATAATACAATGAGAACCATAAAAGAAAGATTCAGACAAAGCCAGCAACCCTAAGAAGGAGGGAGGCATGGGAGCTTAGCATTATCTATGAAAACGAAAGATCAAAATAACAAACTTTTAAACAAACAAGAAAATTCTCATAAAATCATACCATATTGAATCAGTATTTTAGAAAAACCTCCCCTATCGTTCACCCTTGCAACTTCACTCAATTGCTTGTGTGAGATTTTCTGACAAGTCAGGACACAGTCACACATAGAGAAGTCCAGTCATTTCTGATAGAGCAACTTCCTATTCTGCCAAGTGATTTCATTTCCTCTGGTTTTTTACTTTACACGAAGGATGTACATATGTCAAATGACATATAATTCTTGTGATTCAAGTATTTTTTCTTTTCTTTACTTTTTTAAATTGTTTGTATATTGGGCCATTCCCAACAAGTTTTCAAGAGCTGTTTCTGTTTTTGTGCTCAGGGATTGGTCCTGGGGATGTTCAGGAGACCATGTGGGACTGATTTTAGTGCTCCAGCATTAAAGAATGCACTTCAGCTCATTGAGTTATCTCTCTGGTCTTACATATTATTTGCTATCATTGACATAAATGATCTACAAATGGTTATTATAATTCTAAGGAATGAGTAGGTATGCAACACTAGTAACAACAACAAAAAGGGGTAAAAATTAGGAAAAAATAAATTCAGACATTCTACTAACTACATCATGGCCATAAAACTTTCATTTTATAAATTTACCACTACCTCCTCTCTCCCTGAAAATGGCTCTAAGCAAATATTTGAATTTGCTTCTGTTACATAGTGAAGACAGAAAAATATTAGCCTTGCCAAATCCATAATAAATCCATGTTATCATTTCTATTTCTTCAACAATCCCATCCTTCAAAGTACATCTCAAAATCTCTATTGATTTGGGAGACAGAATTGGAAATGGTACTTAATTCCCCATACAAGTAAATAGCATGTTTTAAAACATACAAGTGTAAATGAAATTATTTGTCATAAAAATGGAAACTTTACAAATGAGAAAGGAAAATAAAAGAGAATCATTGTATCGTATATCTTATTTTTATGATGAGAACTCCTGGAAATGCTCATTTAATCAGATTGGCAGTTTAATATTCAGGCCCAGTGATTCTAGGAGACACCTGTGCTACTTTGGCAATGTATCTGGGTCCATACAAGGCTAGAGGTCAAATGGGGTCCTTGCTCAAGTACAGCATGCATCCCTGCTCTAGGTCACTTTTTCACTGGGAAGTTATCAAGAGGAAATACATCTCCCACTCCAGGTTGAGTTATAAGTGACTTAATAAAAGATTAGAGGAAAAGAAAGCTTCCTTTTATTGAGTACCTCTTATGTATCTCTTGGCATTTTCCATATTTTTCCTCATTTAATAGGGTTGGAGGATAGCCAAGGGCTGGAGTGATAGCACAGGGGTAGGGCGTTTGCCTTGCATGCAGCCAGCCTGGTTGAGCCTGGTTGTATTCCTCTGCCCCTCTTGGAGAGCTCGGCAAGCTACTGAGAGTATCTCACCCTCACAAAAAAGCCTGGCAAGCTCACTGTGATGTATTTAATATGCCAAACACAGTAACAAGTCTCAAAATGGAGATGTTACTGGGCCCAATGAACAAAGGGAGGACAGTGTTCTTGACAGTATCCTCATTTAATATTCCTTATGATCCTTTGGAGCTTTTGTTATTCTCAGTATTCAGAGAAAATAACTGATACTCGAGGTTCAAAACACTTCCATGGTTATTTGCTAATAAATTACAGAGCTAAGCTTGAAAACAGGTTTATGTTTTCCCCAAACATATGTATTCCCTAAAATTTATGATACACAAATCAAAGGTTGCTCAAAAGCAGGGAATTTAGTTGTTTGATTCTCTAATTTCTCAAGATATTGAAAACGTCTTTTTTTAAAGGTAAAATACTTTTAGCAAATGAATCAGTTTTCCTTTGCAATTTTACGTTATGTTCACTGGAGACATTTGAATTTGGAGATGAAAGTGAAAGTACTAAGTCACTAGAACACACTGTTATCTCATTAACAAAGTGTAGATAACTTTTTTTCCTATTAAAAATAAACCAGGATTGAACGGCTAACTTAGTGGGATGAGGTTATGCATTTTACCTGGGAGATTGGCTTCAATCTCTGGCACCTTGTGGTTCCCCAGTACTGCCAGAACCAAACCTCTATCACAGAACTGAAAGCAGGCTGTGTGATTCCCCACATTTTTTTAGTAAGAAGCAGAATGTATTGAAATGGCTAGCTTGGATTGGGCTAGGGGAAGAGTTGGAAGCAGGGTCTCAGGAGAGGAACTTTCAAGACTCTCAGAAATTCTGGGTCCACCATCTGTCCAGAGGAGTAAAATTTGGGATATATTTGGCTACACTGGAATCTGGAATGAGCTTCTTTTTAGCCACTGTGTCTTCAAACTCTTCTGAACCAAACTTGGTAAAGCCACACATTTTAGAAATTTGGATTTTCTGAAGGTCTGACAACTTGAACTTCCCTGACCTAGTCACAGAATCACATGTTCCTTGTTCTGCAATTTGGTGCACGCATACATGAGGACTTGACCAATATGGACTCTGATCACCATGCCCTGGGTCTTTCCACATCACACAGCATATCTGTTTGGAGCCTAAATTGGGAACAGCATGAGAGCAGATACAAATGTCCCCACAGAGGTGTGTCTGCAAGGTCCTCAGGGGCACACTACACAGCAACAGGCTAAAGATGCTCCCAGACAGAGTGCTCTTTTCATCCACACTCATGCTCCATTAATACAGAAAAGGAGGTGAGAGAGTGAACCTCTAAGTGAAATGTCATTGGCTTGATTTCTAAGGATGATGTTGGGATACAGTTGAAAACCTGAGAGGAGGAACAAAGGGAGAGAAAGTGATGGAATATGAACCACTGATGAATATGAGAAAAGGGTGTTCTGATGATTAATTTATACATGCACATACAGACATGGTTGTCCTTTGAGGTCAAGTCAGCTGAAGTAGTGTTTAGAATGTTAGTTTGGATCATTACATCCATCATTCAGCAAAGAAAGTCTTATCCCCAAACCACAAAACTTTATACTCTAAAACTTCATTGTTCTTGGTTCATTGTTCTTCATTAAGTTTCTGTCCAAGAGTTTAATTTATACCTTAAATGTTCTTAAACTAGTTATTTCCTCAAGTTTTAGGGAATTCTATAAATTTTAAGACTTTCTAAACTCAAAATTTTCAATCTGAAAAGATGACTTGAATTTTAATGTTAGCAAATTTTGATCTGGAAATTTAGTTTTAGCAAACTATTACTGGAACTGTTATTTAATTTTATTATTTTACTATATTGAATACGTCAGTGGGAGCTTGCCAGGCTTTGCCGTGAGGGCAAGATACTGTCAGTAACAAGAAGTCTCACAATGTAGACGTTACTGGGCCCGCTTGAGCAAATCGATGAACAACGGGAGGACAGAGCTACAGACAGTGCTACTCTACAATTGCTATATATGAACAATATGCCAGGACTCTTATAAATGAAGCATTATCCTCAGAGATTTTCTTGGCTGGAAATGCAGGTTCTCCTACCCCTGTGCCTGGCTGTCTTCACTCGGGCACCTTGGAGGGGGTGTGTTGATTTTCCCTCCCTGCCCCAAGCAGAACCCCAGCAGCAGGAAACCTCCAGAACCCAGCCAGAGCCATACTCAAGGCCACTCTCCACAAGCTCGGATGAGCCTCATGCACGAAGGAACCGACAGAGGAACCCAGGTATGCAGGACCCGTGGCTGAGATCTCCAAGTCTGCTTGGATAGGGACTGGGCCTCCTCCACCCAGGTCCCCCATTTCCCAGTAGCTTGGCAGTCATACCCACAAAGTGCCCCCCAGCACTGTGTAACCTCATCAATGGTCAAGATCCAGAGACTATAAAACAAAACTCGCAGAAGAGAGCAATGTATTCTCTGTCCCTCTCAGAGAACCCGGCAAGCTACCCAAAGTATCCCATCCGCACGGCAGAGCCTGGTAAGCTACCCGTGGTATACTCAATATGCCAAAAACAGTAACAATAACAGACTTCATTCCCCTAACCCTGAAAGGGCCTCCAATATGGCAGTGTTGGGAAGGACGAGTAAGGAGAAGCTGCTAAAATCTCAGGGCTGTGACGAATGGAGCCGTTACTGGCACCCACTCGAGGAAATCGATGATCAATGGGATGACAGTGATACAGTGATAATTGTTGATCAAATATTTTTGTAATTTGGAAGCCTACCATCTGATTAAAATGAGAACCATAAATCATAGCTCTTACAGTTGATAAAATTCACCCATTTTCAAAGTGAAAAAGGGGCCAAAGAGATACTACAGTGGTTAAGTTACTTGCCTTATATGGTTCCTTGAGCTCTGCTAGGGCTGATCCTGAGCATAGAGTCAGAAGTAAACCATGAGCACAGCAGGGTGTAGCCCAAAAACCAAAAAGAAAAAAAAAAAAGAAGTGATACAGGAGATCTGGAGATTGTACAGTGGCTAAGACACTTGCTTTGATGCAGCTAATCTGGGTTCCATCCCTGGCTCTGCATATGATTCCCCGAGTTCTTCCAGAAAAGATTCTGAGCACAAAGTCAGGAGGAGTAAGCCCTGAGCAGAACTGTGTGTGACATCCCAAAAAACAACAAAAAAAGAAAAGGAAGTTTTTAGCTCTCAACTTTATGAGATAATTAGGAGCTATTAAGCTCATTTCATGAAAAAGCAGCCCACAGAAAGATTAAAAGTCACACACCGTTGAGACCAAAGGATTGTTCAGTGGCAAAGAACTGCATTGAGAAGGTGAGATGACAACTTTGACCCTGAGCACTGCCCTACATGTACCCAAAGTGATCTCAGTCACACTGCCAGTTGGAATCCCTGCCACTACAACAAAGTGTGTGATCTCTGGCACAGCAGTTAAGTGTGTGAGCACCATAACGAAATGTTCAAGTACTACAGTCCTGAGTCCAAAGCATCTCCCCTCCTCTTTCCCTCACTTCCTGCGAGCACCATAAGCAGAGTGTGTGATCTCTAGGCATTACACAGCAGCAGAAATAAAACAATGGGATGGGGGAATACATTTAAAAAGAAAAACACTTTCATTTTATTTTATTTTATTTTTTTATTAGTGAAACACCATGAGGTATGGTTGTAGATTTACAATTTTTTGTGCTTGGGTTTGATTATACAATGATCAGATACCCATCCCTCCACCAGTGCCCATTTTCCACCACCATGGATAATATCCCCCCCACCCCCATCCCCCCATCCTCCCCTGCCTCTGTGGCAGGGCAATCCCCTGTGTTCTCTCTCTCCTTTTGGGTGTTGTGGTCTGCAAAAGAGGCATTGAGTGGCAAACATGTTCAGTCCATAGTCCACTTTCGACATGCATCTCCCCTCCTGGGAGGATCCTCCAAACACCCTTTATTTGGTTTTCCCTTCTCTATCTGAGCTTCCCTTTCCTCTAGAATGCCCGACTGGCCACTAAGCTATGGAGTACTCCTCCTGGTTCTGATCTCAGCTATTCTTGGGTATTAATCTCATATTTTGTTACTTTATGTCCCCCAGATGAATGCAATCTTTCTATGTGTATCCCTCTCTTTCTGACTCATTTCGCTTAGCATGATACTTTCCATGTTGTACCACTTGTATGTAAATTTCATGACTTCATCTTTTCTAAGAGCTACATAGTACTCCATTGTGTAGATGTACCAAAGTTTCTTTAACCAGTCATCTGTTCTTGGGCATTCAGGTTTCTTCCAGTTTCTGGCTATTGTAAAGAGTGCTGCAATGAACAAACAAGTGCAGATGTCACTTCGACTATACATTTTTGCCTCTCTGGGATATATTCCCAGGAGTGGTATTGCTGGGTCAAATGGGAGCTCAATTTCTAATTTTTTGAGAATCATCCATACTGTTTTCCAGAAGGGCTGAACCAGTCGACATTCCCACCAACAGTGAAGGAGTGTCCCTTTCTCGCCACATCCGCGCCAGCATCGGTTGCTTTGGTTCTTTTGAATGTGGGCCAGTCTCTGAGGTGTGAGATGGTATCCCATTGTGGTTTTGATCTGCATCTCCCTGATGATTAATGATGTAGAGCATTTTCTCATGTGCTTTTTTGCCATTCGAATTTCTTCTTTGAGAAAGTTTCTGTTCATTTCATTGCCCCATTTTTGGATGGGGTTGGATGTTTTCTTCCTGTGGAGTTTAACCAGTATTTTGTATATCCTGGATATCAACCCCTTGTCAGATGTGTATTCGGCGAATATCCTTTCCCATTCTGTAGACTGTCTTTGTATTTTGGTCACTGTTTCTTTGGAGGTGCAGAAGCTTCTTAGTTTAAGATAGTCCCATTTATCTATCTCTGTTTTCACTTGCTCAGACAGTGGCATGGCATCTTTGAAGATACCATTAGCTTCAATGTCATGGAGGGTTTTGCCAACTTTATCTTCAAAGTACCTTATGGTTTCTGGTCTGATGTTGAGGTCTTTAATCCATTTCTACATGCAGAAAAGTGGGCTCAGAACTCTGCCTAACACCATGTACAAAAGAAAAACACTTTTAAAAAGTAATACATATTCTAGCTATTGTAAACAGTGCTGCAATGAACAAACAAGTGCAGATGTCACTTCGACTATACTTTTTGACCTCTCCGGGTTATATTCCCAGGAGTGGTATTGCTGGGTCAAATGGGAGCTCAATTTCTAATTTTTTGAGAGTCGTCCATACAGTTTTCCAAAAGGGTTGAACCAGTCGGCATTCCCACCAGCAGTGAAGGAGGGTCCCTTTCTCGCCACATCCACGCCAACACAGGTTGCTTTGGTTCTTTTGAATGTGGGCCAGTCTCTGTGGTGTGAAATGATATCTCATTGTTGTTTCGATCTGCATCTCCCTGATGATTAATGATGTAGAGCATTTTCTCATGTGCCTGTTAGCCATTCGGATTTCTTCTTTGAGAAAGTCTCTGTTCATTTCATTGCCCCACTCTCTGATGGGGTTGGATGTTTTCTTCTTGTGGAGTTCAACCAGTACTTTGTATATCCTTGATATCAACCCCTTGTCAGATGTGTATTTGGAGAATATCTTTTTCCATTGTGTATACTGTCTTTGTATTTTGGTCACTGCTTCTTTGGAGGTGCAGAAGCTTCTTAGTTTAAGATAGTCCCATTTGTCTATCTCTGTTTTCACTTGCTTGGCCAGTGGCGTGACCTGAGTGCCCGAGAACAGATGACTGGTTAAAGAAAATTTGGTACATCTACACAATGGAGTACTATGTAGCAGTTAGAAAAAATGAAGTCATAAAATTTACATACAAGTGGTACTACATGGAAAATATTATGCTAAGCGAAATGAGTCAGAAAGAGAGGGACAGACATAGAAAGGTGGCATTCATCTGGGTAACATAAAGTAACAAAATAAAAGACTAACACCCGAGAACAGCTGTGATAAATACCAGGTTGTTCACTCCATGGCTTAGAGGCCAGCCGCACACTCCAGGGGTAAAGTCAGCTCAGATAGAAAAGGGAGCACCAAATAAAGGCTGCTGGGAAGATCTGCCCAGGATGGGAGATGGCTGCTGAAAGTAATCTATGGACCAAACATGATTGCCACCCAATGTCTCTTCTGCAGACCACAGCACCCAAAAGGAGAGAAGAACAAAAGGGAGTGCCCTGACACAGAGGCAGGGTGGGATGGGGGATGGGGGTGTGGGAGGGATACTGGGATTGGTGGGGGTGGAGAATGGGTACCAGTGATGGGATGGGTACTCGATCATTGCATAACTGAAATCCAAGCACAACAACTTGTAAGTCTACAACTGTACCTCATGGTGTTTCACTAATAATAAATAAAATAATAATAATAAAAAATATAAAAAGTAATACAAAAATTATGAGACTAAGTTTGAATTCTGATGGTCTTTCCCACTAAGTATGCTGCTTATCTTTCCATTAGATACTACCTTGTTCCTCCCCAAACCAACCTAAAAGCACATAAACCATTTCCAGGGCATAAATGTGTTTCATTTTACCACTGGGGTGTACTTGAATAGGGTTCCCATCTGGAGTGCCATTTCCTTTCATCTTCCTCTTTAAAAGTCCTCCTATCCTTCCACATTGTACTAAAATAAAAATGTTTATGGTAGATTCTATTATTTTTTACCTTTTGGAATCTCTCAGTCCTGTCCTTATACTGCTTTCTTCTTCTGGTAGGATGTTTTTGTACTTCCTGCATAGCCTCGGGTAGTTTAGGTTTATAGGGTTGCTCCCATCACAGTATTCCCATTCCTGTGTTTATTTGTAACTTCTTTCTTTGTATTCTGTTGACTTCTAAATATTGTTTTCCTCTTCTCCCTAAGTCCTTTGCATAGTTTATTCAGAGAAATGTCCTTTCTGTATGGACACAAGAAAACAGTATATGCTATGCTTTTGTAATGTGACTCGCAGTGATATTTTCCTCCTGGGCATCACATAAGCCTCAGCTGCCTTTACTTCCTACTGCCCCACAAAGCAGGGGCCCGAGGAGGGACTAGATGGAACCAGATCAAGTGGTAAGCTATGTGCTACCCTGGCATCGAGATAGGCCTGGCCACGTGCCATAATGCTTAACTATAAGTTAAGAGCTTGGTCATAGACAAATGCTGTCATGATCCAAAAAGTAATAACTAGACTCGGACCCTGCTAGGGTTAGGAATGATTAATCTGGCTTGAGGGCTGTAGTCTGAGTCTGTGACAAGATGTTCCCAGGAGAGCTGCCCTACAAGCCTCAATGTATCTCTTACTGTGTCCATACAAAAACAAACTAGTATTAAAATGTTAATACTAGTTTTTCTCCTCTTAAGGGAGAAAAACACCATAAGAGGTATTTTGCCTGAGGCAGTCAGGGAGGGCTTTGGAATACCTCTTAGGAGGTGTTCCCTTTGAACTTGGTGGGCACTCAGGAAGGGCTTTCTTAAGTTGATTTTGCTACCAGACAGAGTGCAGTGTCAACCCAGAGTGCTGGGGAGTTGGAGAGATAGAGTGCTGAGGAGAGAGTGGGAGAGAGATGAGCAGGAAAGACAGGAGGAGATGGGAATGAGGGGAGTGTGAGACTAGAATGGGAGGCTCAGAGAAACTGGGGTGGGGAAAATGGGTCAACTTCACTCCATCATTGTCCCCAGCTTCCCTCCCACCATCCAGCCCAGCCTGCCTCCCAGAGAGGCACATTTTTAAGTTTGGTTGTTGTGGTTTGGATCCTGTGCTTTAGTTTTCAACCATATTTTAAAAGAATGCACACTTAGTCTTACCCAGGCCTAGATCCCCACTTATCAGAAATCGCTTGATAAACAATTGTGGAACTGAAATGAAATATGTGCCTTTGTACTCTCGTAAACATATGCATGAAACCAATTCTCCTGCAAAGCCGTAGTATATCCTTGAGAACAGTAATAGCTTTGGGAAATTTTCCATAGTGCTCATAAGGGATCCTTTCATAAGTTATCTTGCCAATAAAAAGGCTAAATAGAATATTCTCTCTCTCATTACTCATGTTATTTACTTAAAGAAACAATTGGCCATAAGAGAATAATCATAAAAGAGCTAACTCTAACAACTGCCACCACGAGTGCTAGCAATAGCATATAGTTATTTATCAAGAAAGGGAAATGCAATGAATAAAATGTATCAAACTAAGAAACTTGAACATTTGACAATGACTTTAACATACTCAGGCAAATGTTTCTCAATGTCCTTCTAAAATCTTTAAAAAACAGTTCTTGTGAAAAGATCAAAAAGAAGTTTAATCATGATGAAAACGTGACACGAGACCCACAGAGGTGTCTGATGACTCAGGTCTGTTCTGCGTGGTTACATATTGTGGAATTTCCTCTGACCTAATAGTGGAGAATGAGGGTGCACATGCTCTCTACTGTTGCGATAATATAAAAAGCCACGAGGCTCCTCCATCCAGCACAAGTCCCAGAGGACAGCCTAGCTCACAAGCTTCTAGGACAAGAGCCAGTAAGAAGTTGGAAAGAATCTACTGGAGAACATGACTGCCAAATTGATTGCTGGACTTCTGGCAGCTTTCCTGCTTTCTGCAGTTCTATGTGAAGGTAAGCATCGTATGGAGCTATAAGGCGTACCTGTATTCAATCTTCAGAAAGCAGGATTCACCTCAAGGCTTTGATAACAAACATCCTTTTGTTCAGGGGAAGAAGACTTTAGTCATTTCATGTGAAATTGAAATTTTCGGTTTTGCAGACTATATCTGTGACACTTCGAAAAGTATCAAGGTTGATTAATAAGATATTCTGCTTCTCTTATTTATAATCAGCCTTTTTCATATATCTAATACAGATGTGTGAGTCAGCTTATATCTTATTAGAAACTGCGTTTATCCACAATAACATGGAGCAAGTTTACGCAGGCAACTTTATTCCATTTTCTTGAAAAATTTAAATTTTTGTTTGGTTTAAAGTCTGCCTGAAAGAATATAGATCTTGGGATCCGCCCCCTATGAAATAAATATAGCTCGAAATGTTTATGGTATATAATTTCTACATTTTTTTCCTCTTGACTATTATGAAATCTTTTTGTTAGCCAGTCAAAAATGGTTTGGCCAGATGAATACTCTGCTTTCAATTTCAAAAAAGAGTTGGGTAGAGATGTGATGTTTATTAAACACATACTCATCAAATTGTCATATTATAATGAAAGAGGAAGTGCTTAGAAATGGGGTTCTTGAAATCAAATCTCAATTCTTTTTTCCCTCCACAGATGCCGTAGTTTTAAGAATTAATGGAGAACTTCGATGCCAGTGCATAGAGACGCATTCCAAACCTTTCCATCCCAAGTACATCAAAGAGCTGCGGGTGATCGAGAGTGGACCTCACTGCCCACATTCAGAAATCATGTAAGTACTTAAAACAGTGGCCAGGGCCAGACAGTATAGCAGGGAAGACACTGGCTTTGCCCGGTTGACCCTGTGTTGACTCCCAACTCTGCATATGGTACCTTGGGCACTGCCAGGAATGATCCCTGAGAACAGAGCCTGAAGTAAGCCCTGAGCACTGCTGGGTGTGACCTAGAAAAAATAAAATAATAATTATAGTATAAAATGTGATCATATATTTTTCCTTAGCAAGCCTAAGAAGGTGGGAATATCCAAAATGAAAATTCTACACACTAGTCATATAGTAGTGAGCAAAACAGAAAGGAAAATTTCTTTGTACGGGAATTAAAATATGCATCGTCCATGACTCGCTACCTTGAACTTACATTTAATGCCTACAGTTAAGGAACTTGAGTGGCAAAGTGGAGTCTAAAACCTGCTTAATATTAATTTCAATCATATTTCTCTTGTTTCAGTGTAATTCTCACCTCAAATAAAGAAGTCTGCCTGAATCCTAAGGAAAAGTGGGTGCAGAAGGTTGCGCAGATATTTTTGAAGAGGTGAGGTTTTGTTTCCTTTTAGATTGTCCATTTATCCTGAGACCAACGGTCCCTAAAAACTGGATTTCTGGACCATAACAACAACTCAAGAAGCTAAACACATGCTGGCATGTGGAAGGCCCGAGTTTAGTCCCCAGCACTGCTTGGTCCTTGGACAGGGCCAGGAGTGAGCTCCTAGCACAAAGCTGAGAGTGTTCGACCCTGAGCACTGCTGGGTGAAGCCCAAAGGGAAAAGAGGAAAAGATTATTTATCCTGAGACAAATAGTCCAAAAGTCAGTCTACACATTTCCTGGTGCTACTACAAATGTTCTGCTTCAGCTATCTCTTTTCACCGGCAGTAAATGTATTTGTGAAGCTCACATTTCTAAGTTTATACTTGGAAGTCTGGGTTTGTGCCTTTGTCCTGGATCATTACTATAGTTATCTTTTATGATCAGAATTGTCCTGGTTTGGGGATAACTTATCATATTCATAGCTGAATATATATGGTATTTTAAAGCAATTAATATCTAAGGCCATTTATTTGCTGTCAAATATTTTTAAGAATGATAGCATCTTTAGTAGAGCATTGCTAATTTTAATTTGTTTTTTTTTTAATTTATTTTCAGAGCTGAAAAGAAAGACATAGAAAACTAATATTCTCCATGTTTTCCAAGAGTTCTTTAACAGAGAAGCCAATGAAACTTCAAACAAATCTATTTTAACAGTCTGTGTACAGTGTGGAACTTGTGGTCAGCTGTCAAAAGAAGTTCAGGATGCCAGTTAAATATGAATTTTCATAAAATCATTGATAGTTTTTTTCAATATTCCATGTATATTACCTTATCCAATATCTAGGACACACTTACTAAAAAAATTCATTTTTACCAAAATTCAAATATAACTGTGCTATGGAGGGGATGCTGATCAGAATCTATGAGACTCTTTTTCCTTGTACTTCGATTTATTCCTTATTCACAAACAGGAGAGAAAATATCAGGTACCACACATCCTAATGTGAGGGCTAAAAATAATTTAGGGTTTTTTTTTTCATGGCTTCAAATGTAACTTATTCACCTATTTATTATTTATGTATTTATTTAAACATAGCATTGTATAGCACTGTCCTTCTGATGTTCATCGATTTGCTCAAGCAGGCACAAGTGACGTCTCCATTGTGAGACTTCTTACTGCTTTGGGCATATCGAATACCTCATGGGTAGCTTGCCAGGCTCTGCCTTTGCTATGCGGGTGTGATACATTCGGCAGCTTGCCCGGCTCTCCAAGAGAGGCGGAGGAGTCAAACCAGGGTCGGCCTGGGTCGGCTGCATGCAAGGCAAATGCCTTGCCACTGTGCTATCGCTAATTTAAACATAAAACATAATAATTTTGGGGTGTGAATTTGGAAAATTGGGAAAGGAAACACTGTTAATAAGACAGTAGGGAATAACAGGACAGATGGGGGTGGACTTATATTTATTTTACATATTAAATCTTAGAGGACTATTTTGCTCTGGGTTACTATATTTTGATCGGTTGCCAGATTTTGCAAAATTAAACCCCGAAATGGGATATTTGACTAATTCTTATTTCAGATGAAAAAGAATGCTTTTTTAGTACTAGTGCATAATTATATGATATTGTAATTGAGCCAGCAAACAGCAAAAGTTTACAAAACAATATTAATTGTCCTGCCAGTAAATTTTTGCCATGTAAAAATGTATTATAGAGAGAGAGATTCTGTAGTTTTTATTTAAATTTTGTTTTTAACAGTCTTAATTTATCAACTCTGAGATGTTTTTTATGTTACCAAAGAGAATTATTTCACTGTTTTGTAATATTGAAATAAAAAGCATTTAAAATAAATTTGTTACCTATGTCATCAAGTGTTCGTCTTTTTTTGGTAGTTTTGGAATTTATTGAGGGTTGGGTTCCTGGAGAGAAGGTCCAATGGGCTGAACACAAGCTTTTCTTGCAGGAGACTAGAGTCCAATTCCTGTCCCCACATGGTCCCCAAGCACCTGGGGAGTGACCCCTGAGCACAGAGCTGAGAGATGAGCACTGTTGGGTATGATCTCATTGGGTAATCGCTATCTCTTTGCGTATATTAAAATCTTATTTGATTTTTAAAGCATAAATGTATGCAAAATTTCAAGCTTATATTTGTCATAAAATAAAATGCTTTTCCAGAGATGGTTTGCAAATAATAGCCCCTTCAATAGGAGTTGAGGAATTTCTCAACTGCGCCTTATACATATTTTTCTAATAAAGCTGCTTTCAGATTTTCAATAATCCGGGTGATTGGAAGATAAGTTTTCATATAGTTTAACACAACTGAAAGACATGAAAGAAGGAAAGGAAAGTGAAAGAGGGAATCAGGGTATGCTTTTAAAAGTGCTTCTCAGCATACTGGAAGCAAAACCATCAAATAGGAAGTAAAGACTTTTAAAATAAAATTCTAAGCCAATCATTTGTTTATTATTGTTTTGTTGTTTGGGGGGGGTCATACCTGGCAATGCTCAGGGGTTACTCCTGGATTTGCACTCAGAAATTACTCCTGGTGGTGCTCAAGGAACCATATGGGATGCCACGAATTTAACCTGGTTCAGCTGCATGCAAGGCAAATACCCCACCCACTATAATGTCACCCTGGTCCCCAACCAAGCTTGTTTGAAAACAAATTAAATAAAACTCTTTAGAGTAAAAGTATAATAATTAAATGGCAAGAACTCAGTGGATATCTTTTATTTTTTGTCACAAATTAGATAGAGCTGAAAGGAAAATTGGAAATTAGAAATCTCAGATATAAAACCAAAGAGCTTTTTCTGGACTTGACATCAGAGAAGTCAAAAAGTAAATCGAGAGGTCGGAGCAATAGCACAGCAGATAGGGTATTTGCCTTGCATGTGGCCCACCTGGGTTCAATTCCCAGAATCCCATATGGTCCCCCGAGCACCACCAAGCCACCAAGAGTGATTCCTGAGTGCAAAGCCAGGAGTAACCCCTGAGCATCGCTGAGTGTGACCCAAAAAGCAATAAATAAATAAATAAATAAATAAAAGTAAATTGAAAAAAAGAAGCTAAAATATGTGGAGGACAAGAAACAAAATCATATCAATGTCCAGTCATAATTTTATAAGCAGAAAAGAGACAAAAGAATTTGAGATAATAATGATTAAAAATTGTCTAGAAACAATGAAAAATAAGTTTCAAAGAAGTCCAAATTATCAATGCTTACCAGTGCATACAAAAAAGCTTCTTTATTTCATCTTTATTGCTTATTATTTTTAAGGTCGAATGCTTTTCTTCATTTTCTCCTCTATATTATTACCATATTCTGCCAGCAAACTAAGTTTCTTTGTTCAACACATTTCCTGTTGCTCAACTCTCCACTTTTGCAGTCTCTCTTTTTTTTTTCTTTTTGGGTCACACCCGGGAATGCTCAGGGGTTACTCCTGGCTCATGCACTCAGGAATTACTCTTGGCAGTGCTCGGGGGACCATATGGGATGCTGGGAATCGAACCCGGGTCGGCCATGTTGGTTGGGTGCAAGGCAAATGCCCTACCCGCTGTGCTATCGCTTCAGCCCCTTTTGCAGTCTCTCTTAAGGTTGACTATACACAATGTTAACTATTAAAAAACAATTTTAATAAAATGTTGATAGGACAAATATAGCAGGGTCCTTCAGAGCAAAAAAACAAGGGGTTATCGAACCTCTCATAGTTTTATGACAAAATTTGTGCTAGAGTCTGAAAGATGAGCAGATCATCACACCAATGGAAGAAGGATGTGGAGGGAAGAGTAGCCGAGATGACAGGGGAGATAATAATGTATAAGCAGAATCTATAAACTCGAGTAGAGGGGTGAAGGGTGTTAGTGGACTTGGAGTTTGGCACAAAGTCAAACCAGCATAACCTGAAGAGGACAAATGGGTTATAAAATACTCTCAAGATGCTTAGATTTGGGATTAAAAACTCCAAGTGGATTCCAATTAACTGTCACTTTCTTTATTGTTATTATCATTTTTATATTTTAAAAAATCTCATCTTCAAGCGTTTTTTTTTATGCATTGGAGATTGAATCATCAAAGAACTGCCAACCTTGTTTTACTTTGTTTAACCTCTTGATATGCTAAGTTTTATGCTACATTATACATCTTTGTTTTTATTTCATTTATTTGTGGATAGTGGGGAGGAGTCAGAGACCAGCCCTGGCAATAGTTGGCCCAGCCTGACAGTTCAGAGCTTAAACTAGTGATGAGAAGTTGCTTTGGCAAAACGGTGCTGGGGATTACCAGCAATACCTCAACATTGGTGAACAGGGGACATGCCAGGTCCTTACCAAGATGTTCCTTTGGCAGGGGGATCGATGGTACAAGAGATCGAGATCTGTTCTTGTATATGCAAGATGTGTGCTCCAGACCTCAGTGCAATCTCCCCCACCGTTAAGCACACATCTGAAAGCAATGCGGAAGACATTTGCACTGAGCTGAAGAATCTTGATAATTTTAATGATGAATGCTTTAATATTTTTTAAAATTTATTTATTTATTTATTTTGTTTTTTTGTGTCGCACCTGGCAATGCTCAGGGATTACTCCTGGCTCTGCACTCAGAAATTATTCCTGGCGGTGCTCAGGGGACCATATGGGATGCAGGGAATTGAACCCGGGTTGACTGTGTGCAAGGCAAATGCCCTACCCATTGTGCTATCACTTCAGCCCTGAATGCTCTAACATACTGACTTCTTTATTTTATCTTTACTGCTATTTTTAAAAATTCAAATGCTTTTCTTCATTTTCTCCTCTATATTGTTACCATCTTCTGCCAGCAAAGTAATCCACTGAAAAGGCAGCAAGATTATAAAATTGGAGATGTAGCATTATAGAAATGAGTCAAATAGGAAAAAATGAGTGAGAAAAAGGTGAGAGAAACAGTGAGGAAAATCCAGTCCACTTGTTGAATTTAATTTTTTTGCTTTATTTTATTCAACAATCATAGTAAAATTACATATAATAACACAGGT